TCCCTGAGGAATCACCACACTGTCTTCCACAATGGTTGAACTAATTTACACTCCCATCAACAGTGTAAAAGCATTCCTATTTCTCCACATCCTCTCCAGCATCTGTTGTTTCCTCACTTTTTCATGATCGCCATTCTGTCGTGAGATGGTATCTCAATGTGGTTTTGATTTGCAGTTCTCTAATGATCAGGGATGATGAGCTTTTAAAATATGTTTGCTGCCTGCAGAAATGTCTTCTTTTGAGAAGTGTCTCTTCATATCTTTCGCCCACTTTTTGATATTTTTTTTCTTGTAAATTTGTTTAAGTTCTTTGTAGATTGTGAATATTAGCCCTTTGTCAGATGGATAGATTGCAAAAATTTTCTCCCATCCTGTAGGATGCCTGTTCACTCTGATGACAGTTTTTTTTGCGGTGTAGAAGCTCTTTAATTAAGTCCCATTTGTCAATCTTGGCTTTTGTTGCCACTGCTTTTGGTGGTTTAGTCATGAAGTCTTTGCCCAAACCTATGTCCTGAATGGTATTGCCTAGGTTTTCTTCTAGGGTTTTTATGGTTTCAAGTCTTACGTTTAAGCCTTTAATCCATCTTAATTCTTGTATAAGGTGTAAGGAAGGGGTCCAGTTTCAGTTTTCTGCATATGGCTGGCCAGTTTTTCCAACACCATTAATTTTTTCCTATTTTTTTAAGCAACATAATCTTTTTCCTAAATGGTATCCTACCCAGAACTTCAGCATGTAAGACAGAAAAAAGCAGACCTTCTTTGTTTGGAAAGGAGTGGTGCCTAAAGCCAGGATCCACAGTTTTCACGTTGAGAAAATATATGACGGGCTCTTGAAACCAGTATTTTCTTTCAAATTACAGCACATTCAAATTTTACTTATGCAGTTTGTTTTGCCAACAAAAATTCAGTTTTGTAGAAACAATTTATCACACAAGGAGTTTCTGATGGAAAAATCTGAAAACTTTTAGAAATCAAAAAAGTGAAATACATTTGAAAATATTACAAGTTTGAAATGAATGTTGGTTTTGTGGTGACACAATCTCTGAAAATTATTACTGTTCATTCAAGATGGAATGAGGAAAATAGTGTGTGCCTGAAATCCACAGTTGAATATATCTTTTTTTTTTTTCTTTTTTGAGACAAGGTCTTGCTCTGTTGCCCAGACTAGAGTACCGTGACACCATTGAAACTGACCCAGTAGTTCCATAGACAGATTTTTTCTTGGAAAAACAAATAAATTGATCCTTCTGGTCTTAAAGCTTGAAACTTACATTTGTTTTATCTGAGCTTCCTCCTCAGGAAAGGACCCCCAGGTCTGGCAAAAAGTATCTAAGAACTGAAACTTACCAGATCATTGGATCCAGACAATGAGATGCCAAGCCCTCATTCATCATGATTGCTTCCTCCCTAGTTCCCGCTTTCTTACACATTATTACACTTCTTCCCTGCTACATAAACCCCTAATTTTAGTGGTCCGGGAGATGGATTTAAAACTGATCTCCCATCTGCTTGGCTGCAACACCTGATGAAAGCCTTCTTCCTTGGCAGTAGTTGTTGTCTAGTGATTAGCTTCCTGGGAGGTGAGCAGCAGGACCTAGACTGAGCCCCTGGCATGTTGGGGACATGATCATGGCTCACTGCAGCTTTGAACTCCTGGGCTCAACAAATCCTCCCATCTAAGCCTCCCAAGTAGCTGAGACCACAGGCCCGAGCCACCATGCCCAGCTAATTTTTGTATTTTTTTGTAGAGACAGGGTCTGCCTGTGTTGCTCAGGCTGGTCTTGAACTCCTGGTCTCAAGGAATCCTCCTACCTTGGTCTCCCAAGTGCTGGGATTATACATGTGAACCACCACACACACCTGGCCTGGCTTTTTTTTTTTTAAAGTAAGCTGTGTATGTGTGTGGGTGTGTTTAGTAAAAGAACATTAATTAACTTTATTTTTGGAAATAGAAATTGGAGAGAAAGTTAAAGGGGAATAAATATTTTGACTCAGAATTCAAAAATAGAAGTAAAAAGATTGAATTGATTTAGAGCGTTATAAATGTGTAAAGCAATAGGCTGAGTGGGCAGTAAAGACTGGCAGGTGCTGTGGCTCACACCTGTAATCCCAACATCTTGGGAGGCTGAGGTGGGAGGATCATTTAAGGCCAGAAGTTTGAAGCCAGCCTGGGCAACATAATGAGACCCTGTCTCTACCAAAAAATTTTAAAAAATCATGCAGGCGTGGTGGTGCGTACCTGTGGTGTCAGCTACTCAGGTGGCTGAGGCAGGAAGATCACTTGAGCCCAGAAGTTCAAGGCTGCAGTGAGCTGTGATTGTGCCACTGCACTCCAGCCTGGGTGACAGGGAAAGACCCTGACTCTAAAAAAATAATTATAATAAAATTAACAACTGAAGAAATCCTTGCATTTCATTGATGTTTCAGAGACAATTGGGAAATGTATAGTGTCAATTTTTTAAAATGACAGGTTGCTCTTATTTAGAATCCTTCAAAGTCTTCCTATTGCTCTTAGAATAAAATGCAAACCCCTTATTCTGGCCCCTCCTACCTGTCCACCACATCCCTGTCCTCTTTCTGTCACACAGCTCTGAAGTCAGTCATTTTCTGTCGGTGCCCAGAATACTGCCGGACCCTCTTGTTTCCCAGGCCTCGGTCCCCACTCGTTCCTCTTCTTGGGTGCAGCTGGTATCTGTGGAGGGTTGAATTGCGTTCTCCTCCTGCAAATTCATATGTGGAAGTCCTAACTCCCAGTACCTCAGAACATGGCCTAATTTGGAAAGAGGGTAGCTGGAGATAGAATTAGTTAAAATGAGGTCATAGGGGAGTAGGGTGGGCTTCTTATCCAATATGATCAATGTAAGTGTCCTTATAAAAAAAGATAATGTAGACACAAACACGTGCAGAAAGAACACTACATAACCATCAAGACCGAGCTGGGGTGCTGCATCTACAAGCCAAAGAGTGCCCAAGCTTGCTGGCAAACCACCAGAAGCCAGGAGGTGTGGAAATCTCCCGGAGCCTTGAGAAGGAACCAACTCTGTGGATGCCTTGTTCTCAGACGCCCAGCCTCCATAAGTATAAGACAATAAATTCGGTGCTTCAGGCCACTCAGTTGTGGGACTTTCTTATGGCAGCCTTGGCACACTAATACAGGACCATCTCATTCTCCACGTCCTGGCTCAAATCTCATTTCCTCAGAGCAAGCTTCTTGACCACCTAGCTGGCACAGTATTTTCTACAAAGCTACTGTTGTTTTCCTTCAGAGCACTGAGACAAACCTGTAACTATTGTGTTGGCTTGCTTATTTGCCTGTTGCCTTCGCCTTCACTGGAGCATCGGGGCATGTGCACAGCTCCCAGAGTGCCGGGAACATCCCAGCGCTTAATAAACACGGAGGGTAAATGACGCCAAGCTGTATCAAACATTAGGCAGACTGCACCAACAGCTGATATGTGAATTGCCATGCACATTTTGTATTTAGCAGAGATAAAGTTTTTTAAGGAAGAACATTTTAAAATACTCTCAATCCTTTGTTTTGTGACACTCTTCTGTCTTTCTCATTGGCAAATTTCCAAAATTTTCAAATAGAATTAAGGTGTACTATTCAGAATACTACGAAGTTTGGGAAGGAAGAGAACACACTGAACATCATCATGCTTCATACGCTGTGACTGAAGGCTTACAGAGAAATAGTGAAATTTGTAGCAAATGAGCAAAGAGCCTCAATAGACATTTTCCATACAAGACATATCAATGGCCAACAGGTGTATGCAAAAGTGCTCAACATCATGAATCATCAGAGAAACGCAAATCCAAATCACAATGAGGTATACCTCCCACCTGTTAGAAGGGCTAAAAAAGGGAAGCTTTGCACGCTTGGTGGGAATATAGATTGTTGTAACCATTATGGAAAACAGTATGGAGGTTCCTCAAAAAATTAAAACGGAATTACCATTTGAATGAAACTAGCAAATGGAACCATGTGATCCAGCAATCCCACTTTTGAGTACATATCGAAAGGAAATGAAATCAACATCGTGAGATGTCTGGTCCTTTTTGTTCACTGCAGCGTTATTTCCAACAGCCAAGATACGGAAGCAACCTAAGTGTCCACCAATAGATAAATAGATAAAAAAAATTGTGGTACCTATATACAATGGACTATTATTCAGCCATAAAAAGAGAAGGAAATCCTATAATTTGCAACAACATGGATGAACCTGGAAGATGTTATGCTAAGTGAAATAAGCCAGACACGGAAAGACAAATATTGTAGGGTTTCACTTCTATGTGGAATCTAAAAATGTTAAACTTAACAGACAGAAAGTAAAATGGTGGTTGCCAGGGATTGGAAGTGGAATGGAGAGATGTTAGTCAAAAGATAGAAAACTTTTAGTTAGATCCCAGAAATTATTGATATTATATAACGCACAGCAGGGGTGGCGGTGGATGTTTTAATTCATTTGTGGTAATTGTTACACAATATATGTATATCAAATGATCATGTTGTTTACTTTGAATATGTTTAATCTTTATTTGACAATTATTTTATTTTGACTTAAAAAATGTATGTATGTATGTATGTATGTATGTATTTCTAGACAGGGCATCCTCTGTCACCCAGGCTGGAGTGCAGTGGCATGACTGTAGCTCACTGCAGACTTGAACACCTGGTCTCAAGGGAACCTCCTGCCTCAGCCTTTCAAGTGGCTAGGACTATGGGTGCATGCTACCACATCTTCCTAATTTTCTTTTTTTGTAGAGACAGAGTCTCTCTATACTTTCCAGGCTGGTTTTGAGATCCTGTCCTAAAGTGATCCTCCTGCCTTGACCTCCCAAAGCTCTGAGATTACAGGAATGAACCACCATGCCTGGCCGACAATTAAATATTGAAAAATAAGAAAACAAATATAAACACTATTAAAAATTTCTTCAAATATACAGATGACCAGTGAACCAAGGAGTCTCCTAAATTCAGGTTACAAATTTGAAATGTATTCTTTAAAATATCTTCAATACCCGAACTTATTACAATAATTGCTTCTACAGAACTTCAAGGCAAAGCTATAGATGCTGTGTCCATCCATCTTTAAAGGTAAAAGGACTACTTTATAGTTTGTCACCATAGAGAAATATGAATATTTCAGAATATTTATTTCACAGCTATTTGGGAAATTATGCCAAAAAACACTTCATGAAGTTTTCAAAGTTGAAAGCCTTCCCTTGGGAAAGGAAAAACTCTCTCTCTCTCTCTCTCTCTCTCTCTCTCTCTCTCACACACACACACACACACACACACACACACACACACACACAGGGAGAGAGAGAGAGAAATCTAGGCAATTTTAGAGAATGTGTTTTCCGTTCAGAACAGGACAGAAGGAATATTACTAAAAGCTGGGCAATATATTATTACTCAATGTAAACTCATGATTTTCAGAAAATAGTTGCAACAAAATGACCCCCACTTCCCAGTCTGTTGTAAAATGGAAGTAGCCATTACAGAAAATAATAGTCAAGCATCCTCAAGAATTTTCCAGCTTGAGGCCAGTGACCCTGAACTTTGACGGCTTTTCAATCCCATCACAGCTCTATCGTCACAACTAAAATGGAGCTTGGCTCTGTGTTTATTCAACTTGGACTTCGCAATCATGTTCTTCACAACATAGGGCTATTATCTGTGGCTTTTGTATTGGCAACTGCTCTCACAAGTGCAGAACCTTCCTTTTCCATGCCTTCATAACCTCCTGAGTTGCAGCACCTTGGAGGGGAGCCCTGGCAGCCAAGACAGAAGCGGTCCCAGTGATCCTGGTGAGAAAACTGAGCATCTGCTTGCAGACCTGAGCCTCATGATGGAATCATAGCTGTATATACTTAGGCTTTCATTTATATGCCTTTATGTTACGCTTCCCTAAGTTGAACGTACAGGCCTACAGGCTGTGATTACAGGTGGAGATGATGTCGGTGCCATTACTGGGATGCCAGAGAGGAAATGAACATGTCAACCTACCAGACTGTAAGAAAACGTCTTAGAAGGCTGGGACTTTCATTCATTTGCTTCGCTGCTATATCCCAGTGCTGGGAAATGTTCCTGAGCACTCAACAAATGCTAATTGAATGATTATTTTATGAAACGTTTTTTCAATTTTGGGAAACTAAATAGAAAACCCATTTGAAAGGGGGTCACCTTTGAATGTGTCTTTATATTTCTTCCTTAGTTAAGATCCACTCAGGGAGCACTACTATGCTCAAGTAATATTGTCCTTACCCGACTCTCCTGAAAAAAATGAGTCCTGACGCAGCCAGGCAGATCTTTGAGGATGTTCCATTGCACAGGTGAAATACAAACATGCTTCACCCAGGAGATCTTCACCCAGGAGATGACTCTAGCTTCACTCCACAAGACCCTGCAACTTTCTTCACATCAGACTGAAGTGTTGGGTCAGATTTCCTCGGTATGGCAAAGGTTACTTTTTTCTCACAGGCTTCCAAAAAGGCTATAGTTTCCACAGAGATTTATTACTGTATGCGTCTTATCAAAGGGCTAAGAAATACTTCTTGACTGTGTATATCAGTACCATGTAGCTGTTTTGGTTCATCTGTACATTTCTGGTTCGTAGTGACATCTCATCAAGGGCCTAAGAACAGAAATACATTCTATGTTCTATGAGTTTAGGGGCCTGGAAAATTGGAAGTAACATCCACGCTTCAGGGAGGCCCAGAGACTCAGGAAAAGGGGGAGTCTGTGAGTCCTTCCAGTTTCCCAGATAGTCAATGAAGTGACCAGTGCAAGGCTGTGGAAAAGATGGCATCTCTCAATTGGGACATGTATAATTTGTTGCACCTGAGGTATGTAGAGGAGTTAATGTGTCCAGAGCTCAGAAGTTACAGATTTTGGAGTCATCACCAAATAGTGATATTTGAAGCTCTGGGCGTGGAGGAGAGCACCCAAAGATAAAGCATGCAGAATGAGAAAATAAGAGGGTTGAGGACAGAATGCCTGGAAACACCGTAATTTAGGGGGCTGGCAGCAGACAAGGAGCCAGCCAAGAGCTAGAATAGGACAGCAGGCTGTCACATGGGCATTGCAGAGAGCAGGCAGCACGGTCAGCATTTTTAAATCCTACAGAGAAGGAGACAAGGATTGGAAATGGTCCTTTAGAAAGATCACTAGAGGGAAATACATTAAAACATCCACAGGTCTATTCCTGACCGGTGAGATGTCAGGTGGCTTATTTTCTTCTTTCACCGTTCTTGCATTTTCTAAATTTCTCTACAAAAAAGTTAGTTACATTTATATTAAAAAGCTGATAAAATATAAAACAAAGGCTCTGATCAAGTCTAAAGTATTTTATGGGAGCTTGATGAAAAGAGCAAGTTATTTTTATTAATTCACAAGTATTGCAGTGCCTGTGTGCTGGGCACCATGCTAAGGATGAAACAATGCACAAGGGGACGGCTCTGTTGTTTGACAAAAAGGAATGGAGGCTGGTTTGCCAAGGGAGGGATGCAGGGCTTGCGGGCACAATGGCAGGAGATGAGGCTGGAAAGGTCATTTGGTGCCAGATTACAATGGACTTTATGTGTCTTATCAAATAATATGGCCTTTATTATGAACGCTACAGAGAGGCTTTTGAGTGGGCAGTGTTAGGATTAGAAATGTGCTTTACCTGAAGTTAATTTTCTACCGGATTTTGGCAGTAGTGTGGCTGCTGGCCTGGGGGGGTGCTGAAGCAGGAGACTGGATCACAGTCCGCCGGCAATGCAGTAACTGAATGAAGGCAGGGCTCTGAGCGCCGGCCAGGCCAAGATGTTTAGGGGTAGCATCAATAGATTCGACTGATTGGATGTATGCTGCACGAAGTAGGACGTTAAAAGTAAGGAATGATAAACTTCTTCCTGCTTATCGAAGACCGTAATTAGGGCAATGCCCTTTCCGGAAACACGTTCCTTGGGAAGTCAAGTGTGAGCATCACAATAGTTTGGAAGCTATCTGCACCCAGCCGGTGTTTCCAGTGAGCCTCACGCACGGCGACAGGTGGTCAGGATGCAGGACACAGGTTGGTGGCCCCAGCCCTGTCTGACTCCCCTGAAAACATACAACAGAGGCATCTGCCTTTCATAAACACAAGGAGGATAGTGCTGGGGGTCCGGCTAGACCTCGTTATCTCTCTCACCCCTGGGGCCTGTGCACAGAGGCTGCTGGCAGGAGAGTGGAGTCCCACGTGTGCAGTGAAAGAGAAGTTCAAAGTGACACCTTGCATTTGTCCCTTCTCCATTCCTCTCTTTCTGCTCCAGAAAAAATAAAGGAAGATGACTGTTTTGGTACAGAAAAAAAAAAAAAAAAAAAAAATGAATACTAGGTTTTTAACTCGTGTCTCTGGGTTGGGTAAAGAATGACAGCTATTCTATAGTTTGTACGGAATTTCCCTTAATGGTCATTGCTATATGACATAAGAGAGTGAGTGGCTGGACCAAGCACTGGTGCAGGCCTATAGTCCCAGCTACTCGGGAGGCAGGAGGATCGCTTGAGGCCAGGAGTTCAAGGTGACAATGAGCTACGATAGCACAGCCTGCGTGACAGAGCAAGGCCCTGTCTCTTTAAAAAAAAAAAAAAAAGTATTATAATAGAAGGGATAAGAAATAATATGTATGTGAGGTTTATTTCTGAGACCAGAGCCACAAAACAGAATCCTGAACTCTTAGCTATTTCCTTACCACACACATTTACTTGGGTACTTTCATTTTTTCAGTCTATATAATTCAATACTTCTGTGACAGAGAGGTGTTGTAGTTATTTTTTTGGCAGCTGTTTACATACAAACAGCTATGGTCTCCCAGGAAAGAACTTTCCCTGTTGAGTACAGAGGTCTGGGAAAAGACTGAGGAAATTGCATGTAAGGAAGAAGCAAGTCTAACTAAATCTGAATCTAACCTTTTTTTTTTTTTTTTTTTGAGATGGAGTCTTACTCTGTCGCCCAGGCTGGAGTGCAATGGCATGATCTCGGCTCACCACAACCTCCGCCTCCCGGGTTCAAGTGATTCTCCTGCCTCAGCCTCCCAAGTGGCTGGAATTACAGGCCTGTGCCACCACGCCCAGCTAAGTTTGCATTTTTAGAAGAGATGGGATTTCTCCATGTTGGTCAGGCTGGTCTTGAACTCCCAAGCTCAGGTAATTCACCCGCCTCAGCCTCCCAAAGTACTGGGATTACAGGCGAGAGCCACCGCACCCAGCTGTCAATCTATACTTTTTTTTTTTAACGGAGTCTTACTCTGTCACCAAGGCTGCAGTGCAATGGCCTGATCTCGGTTCACCGTAACCTCCGCCTCCCAGGTTCAAGCGATTCTCCTTACTCAGCCTCCTGAGTAGCTGGGATTACAGGCATGTGCCACCGCACCTGGCTAATTTTTATATTTTTAGTAGGGACGGGGTTTCACCATGTTGGCCAGGCTGGTCTCGAACCCCTGACCTCGTGATCCACCCTCCTCCCAAAGTGCTGGGATTACAGGAGCGAGCCACCGCGACCGGATGGCAAGGGACCACAAAGGGGTAGGTCCCAAGGAAGCTGCATTGCTTGCTGCACCTGTCATGCGGGCTGTACAGTCTTCTTTCATTTATTTCCATTAACAGAGTTGAAAACTGAGGCCTTAGGCTTTGGTTGAAAACAGACGCCAAGGGTGCCCAGCTATGAGTTAAGGAGGCCCAAGCCGAATTTGGCTGGAAGTGCTCCGGTATAAGCCTCTCTTCAGAACCAGCCGCCACCCAGACGTCTTTAAGTCGAAGCAACTCACACCCTCGTGCACCTCGCCCTGCAGTGAAGAAACTTCGTCGTACGGGCTCCATAACTCGTCTTGGCGTGGGCTGTGACTTACTGGGGAATGGGCCTCCTTCTCGTTCTAGCTCCTAAACGGAGAGGAGCGCAGCGCCAGGTGGTGTCAGAGAGGGCGGCGGCCCCTCCAATGGTGGCACCCCCTCCAATGGTGGCACCCTCAGCCGCGGATAGCGTTCCAATTCAGTAAGGACACCACTAATGCTGTCCTTTCGGTGGACGGCTCCTTTTATTCCTTGGAGGTGGTCAGTGTGACAAAACCAGTTTTCATCCTAAACACTTACACCAGCCCTGCTAACCGGATGGTCAGAGTCCCCTGCCTTCGCCGGATGCCCTCCGGGAACCTTCAGGCCACCCTGAGGATGGAGAGTCGGGTGCCCACGTTCCTCCCCCGCGCCGCGGGCCTGCGGCCCCCGCCCCGGACCCCGACTCGGGCGTTCTAGAGGCGCGTGCGGGCGCCCCTGGGTGCGAGCCACGGACTCACGAACCGCCGCTTGTTGCT